GAGAGGCTATAAAAGGAGAACGTGAAGGATCCTTTAAGTGATGGAAATGTTCTGTATTTTGACTGTATCAATGTCAATATCCCAGTTGTGATAGTGTACTATAGTTTTGCAAGATGTTACCATTGGGGAAAACTGGGTAAAGGGTACATGGGACGATATATTATTTCTTTCAACTGCATGTGAATCTACAATTATATCCATAGTAAAAATTTAATTTAAAAAAAAGGACCTATGATTTTTGTGACCACTGAAGTCTTATGTGACCAGCATATAGTCTTTGGGATACCTTTCTAAATTTGGTACAGGTTTTTTCTGACTTCCTTCTCAGTATACATTTAGTCTGCCTATGTGAGAATACTTTTTTTTTTTTTCTTAAGAAAGAGGACTCTAACACTAAAAAGTTTCAGCAGAATAGTGGCAGAACTTTATAAATACAATGATGAGTAAATGTCCCTTCCAAGTACACCTGGAAGAGCTTCAGATGGTTTAAAGACCAAGGAAATTATTTGTCTCTGGGATTTGTTTGTTTTATCCACATTTTATTTTTTTTATTTATTTTTTTTTTTTATGATTTTATTTATTTATTTTTTTCCTCCAAAGCCCCAGTAGATAGTTGTATGTCATAGCTGCACATCCTTCTAGTTGCTGTATATGGGACACGGCCTCAGCATGGCTGGAGAAGCGGTGCGTTGGTGCGGACCCGGGATCCGAACCCGAGCCGCCAGCAGCGGAGCATGCGCACTTAACCGCTAAACCACGGGGCCGGCCCAATCCACATTTTAAACAAAGAATGACTGAGATTGGAGAGAGGACTTTTCTGTCTTGGTGTAGTAAAAGTAGACAATAGGTAGAGTCTCAGAATGATGGCAGTTGAACAATATTAGAGAAGTATTTTAATGATAAATCTTTGAGAATTTTTTTCTTCATTTTTGCTTCTTAGAAGGCTTGAGATAATTATCATGCATCTTTAATTTTTATCATCAGTTGCTTTTTTTGTTTTGTTTTGTTTTTTCTTTTATTATTGTGGTACAATACACATAACATAAAATTTGCCATCTTAGGCATTTAAAAAGTGTACAGTTCCGTAATATTAAATACATTCACATTAATGTGCAGCCATCACCACCATCCATCCCCATAACTCTTTTTCATTTTGTACCATCAGTCGCTTTTAATAGGAAACCTATCCCTTCCTTATCTTCCAGTAACAAGCAATATGTTTAACTTGTGCTCTGCAAATAAGTGTTCAAAGGACATGAAAAAACTGAAAGAAGAAATCAGAACTCAAATTTTTCCATAGTATTAGTGGCTTTGAGCATTTATCTTGCAATGCCCTGATTTGTATATGCCCTAGAAAGTAGAATGAGGAAATATTTCTCTCTTCTGCTTTAATTTGGCCTGTCAATAGGATTTTTTCTGCTTACAGTTATTTTAAAGAACATGGAAAATATGGTTTAGTCCAGATTGTCTGCTTTGAGATTTGAGATCAGACTTTTGAGATCCCCTCCCCCTTTTTAAGAATCTTCTGTTATTCTTGTGTATACCATATATATATATATATATATATATATCCTTTTCCTTTAAAGGCGTGGGGAAATATTGAAAGATTTTAAGCAAGACTTCAATGGACAGAATGGATTGGAGAAGTTCAAAGCTGGAGGCTGGTAGACCAGTTGTTGTAATATGGATACAAGATGATAGTGTCCTGGAATGGAGAGTTGGTCACATTTTCCTGACCAGCATTTCCCATATGTCTAAAACATGGCCAGAGTAAAACATGCTAAAACAGGGCCCCAATGACCACAAGCATACCTAGGGGACCTCAGGACCATGTCACCCACTCTTTCCTCTCCAGGACCTAGCCTCCCTCTGGAGCTGCAGGTCACAGCTGTCCCATATTAGTGGTTGCAACAGGGCACATTGAGAAGATCGGGGGAGCAGAGTTGGGTGGGCCAGATACTGTTGGAGTGACATGGGGGTCATGAGTAGTTTGGGAATAGGAAAAGTTGAGGTTGGGTGGAGGGCTTGCGGTTGGTAATCAACTGATACGGAGGGTTAGAATCGGCATGGGGTTTAGCTGGTCACAGATGGGGGATGACAGTGTTGGAGGCAGGGAGTGAAGTAGTTGAAGTAGAGGAGGATTGAGAAGAATTGGGGTTAAGAAAATTGAGCTGATAGAGACAGGCACTGGGTGGTCTTGGGCGCCAGGTGGTGGTGGGTATCAGATGGTATTGGGCATCAGGTGGAGATGGATGCTGGGTGGTCTTGGGCACTGGGTGGTGGGTTTTGTGGTTGCCAAGACCACTCCCAGGTTCTATGATTCCCTAGGAGGACTCAGAAGTCAGCACATAGTCATACTTATGCTATGATTTATTACAGTGAAAGGATACAGAGCAAAATCAGCAAAGGGAAAAGGCACATTGGGCAAAGTCTGGAGGAAACCAGGTGCAAGCGTCCAAGAGTCTTTCCCAGTAGAATCACACAGGACACACTTAATTCATTCAGCAACAAGTTGTGACAACACGTGTGAAATATTGCCAGCCAAGGCAACTCAGAGCCTCAGTGACCAGGGTTTTTATTGGGGCTGGTCGTGTAGTCATTATCTGTCTAGCATATACTAAAATTTCGGACTCCCAGGAGAGCAGCTGTTCAACATAAATCACGTTGTTTGGATAAATAGTTTAGGCACAGTAACCCTCTCGTACCAGTTCTAGGAATGGTGAAACTCCTGAAATCCAAGTTCTCAGACACCAGCTAAGGGGCAACCTTGCAAGCAGGCCATTCTAAGGATAGCAGTCTCAGGCCTGCTCTTCTGACTCTTATACACAGTTGTAATGGGCAGCAGGTGGTGGTGGTGGTGGGCATTGGGCAGTGTTGAACAGCAATGGAGGCAGTGTAAGGCAAAGCTAAGGAGAACAGATAAAGAGCAGGGAACACAGGGGACCTCACTTCTGCCTGGCTCAGTAGAGCTTCATCTTCAGGCCTCGGCACATACTCACAGCCACCACCTTGCTCCACAGCAGCCGCCCCTCCACTAGCATCCAGGAGAATGATATTAATAGTATTTTGCAATAAGGGAATTCCAAGGGTTCCAAGGCCAAGTAAATTTGAGTCAAATGAAGTCTCTTTACTGTAGTTTTTCCCAAACTTTTAAATATGCTAACATATTGTAATTGTTCAAAAAATGAATAGTTATACAGCATTTCTCTAATTTCTTTGGCCATAGAGCATTGACACATTTTATGACATCCACCAAACTCATTTTGGGAACTGCTGCTCTAGACCTCTGGTTTTCAAACACAGCAAAGGAGCCCTGGAATCCCACAGGTAAAAGGGAGGCAGGCCAGTAGAGACCATGCCAGTCTTGTTTACCACTGTATACTCTGTCTTTAGTGTGGGCTTGAGGAAGCACATCACACATTTCTTGAATGACTGAATTAAGGAATGCATTGGCATCTTTATTAAAAAGTAAACTTGAAAACTAAAAGGAGATGAATTCAAAGGAGTTTGTGTCATCTCTTGACTGTTCTATAAGCCCCATTGGGTGAGGGACTATAGCAGTTTTGTTTACTGTTTTATTTACAGGGCCTCACACATGGTAGGTGTTCAGTAAGTGTTGAATAAATGGGTGCAACTCTGTTATTGTTGTTGCTGCTGCTACTTTAAAGATCTGGGCTGGGGCTGGCCCTGTGGCTTGGTGGTTAAGTGCACGCGCTGCGATGCTGGTGGCCCGGGTTCGGATCCCGGGTGCGCATCAAGGCACCACTTCTCCGTTCATCCTGAGGCCGAGTCCCACATACAGCAACTAGAAGGATGTGCAGCTACGACATACAACTATCCACTGGGGCTTTGGGGGGAAAAAATAAAATAAATAAAATCTTTAAAAAAAAAAAAAAAATCTGGGCTGTAGGAAAGGCGAAAATTGTTATCCAAAATGAAGTAAGTAATTACCTGGAGATTTGATTTGGTTATGCTATCACTACTGAATATTGAGAGTTGCATTAAAGTATTTTAAACATCTTTTAGCTCTCAAGAGATTAGAGTTTTTTAATTAAATATTTCCAGCATAGAAATGAGTAAATGTAATACACATGGTATAAAAATAATAAAACAAATACTCATGTACCCATTATCCAGCATTAGAAATAGATCATTACCAATTTCTTTGTGTGCTCTGCCCCAGTCTTATACCTTTACCTCCCTGCTAAAAGTAAGCATTATTCTAAATGTTGTGCTTATCATTCTCTTGCCTTTCTCTTTCAGTTTTACTACATATATGTATATTCCCCAAATAATGAGTTAAGTTTTATGTTTTTTAATTTTATATAAATTATATCACACTATATATAATAGTTTTCACTTGGTATCAGTTTTTGAGATTCATCCATGTCATGCATGTAACTGCAGTTTATTCTTTTTATCTCTTTATGGTATTCCACTATATGACCATATCTCTGTTTATCCACTCTTCTATCCATGGACATTTGGGCTTTTTACAGTTTTTGATAATTCATTCTCTACAACTATGAGATTGTACAATTTTAGTACATGCTAGACAGTTAATGACTACATATTTCCCAGCATACACGTGTAAGTGTTTTTCTAGAATAAATATCAAGGAGTACAATACCTGGGTCATAGACCTGTCCATTTTCAACTTTACAAGATAATGCCAAATTTGTTTTCCACGATATTTGTATTTACACTCCCATTAACAGTGTGTGAAAGTTCCCAATGCTTCACAGGCTCTTCAACATTTGCTATTGTCTGACTTTTTCATTTTTCCCAATGTGGTGGTTGTGAATGGTATCTCATTGTGGTGGTTTTAATTTACATTTCCTTGATTTGTAATGAGGATGAAAATCTTTTCATGCATTTACTAGCCATTTGTGTTTCCTTTTCTGTGAAATATCTGTTCATGTCTTCTCATTTTTTAATCAATTTATAGGCATTCTTTATTTATTCTGGATACTAATCCATTGAGCAAATATCTTTTCTAATTGTGGCTTACTTTTTCACTTTTTTTAAGAGTGCAAGGACAATGCTGAAAGGAATGACAAGGCTTATCTCCAGGGTCCATAAGGTGAGTCCTAACTGACCTACATGCTTCTTTGTGCAAACTGTCTTTAGGTAGACTTTCTTGTTTTTGGATGGATTCACTGTATCCAGAATAAAATGCTTTGGAGAACTTCAGCTGACTAGTGCATTAATTTACAAGTTTACACTCAAAAGAACAGTCACAATTCCGTTCCTCTGCCCATAAACTTCACTCCCAGCTGCCCTAAAAATCTTCAAGTAACAGGTCTCAGTAGAATAGTTGTGCTTGAGAATTTACCTGCCATAGGAGCATTAACATTTTTTTAAAAAATAGATAAATAAGCTTGATTGCAGTTATCTATACTAACTTTTATTATTCTGCAGTTGGATTAATGATTATCATCCCCTCATGAAGTATTTAAAAGAAAAGTAAGTTGCCAATTTAGACCTTTGACATGTGATAGTTGGATAAAATAATAAAATCATATATAAAAAAGGACCGTTCTGCAACAAGTGTTGGAGAGGATGTGGAGAAACAGGAACCCTCATACACAGCTGGTGGGAATGCAAACTGGTGCAGCCTCTATAGAAAATGGTATGGAGATTCCTCAAAGACTTAAAAATAGAGATGCCCTATGACCCAGCCATCCCATTACTGGGAATCTATCCAACGAACCTGAAATCAACAATCCAAAGAGGCTTATACACCCCTATGTTCACTGCAGCATTATTCACCATAGCCAAGAAGTGGAAGCAACCTAAGTGTCCCTCGACTGACGATTGGATCAAGAAAATGTGGTATATATATACAATGGAATACTACTCGGCCATAAAAAAAAGACAAAATCGTCCCATTTGCAACAACATGGATGGGCCTGGAGCGTATTATGTTAAGTGAAATAAGCCAGAAAGAGAAAGACAAACACTGTATGATCTCACTCATATGTGGAATATAAACCAACACATGGACAGAGAAAACTGTACTGTAGTTACCAGGGGCAGTGGGAGTGTGGGGTGAGAGGTGGGCACAAGGGGTGAAGGGAGTCATATATATGGTGATGGACAAACAAAAATGCACAACCCAAAATTTCACAATGTTGAAAACCATTAAAACATCAATTACAAAAAAAAAAAAGGACCGTTCTGTTGCTTTACTTCATTCTTTCGTTTATTTAGCAAATAGTTTTTCAGTACCTTCCATATGGCAGGTACTCAGGATTCTAAGATGACTCGTTTTACTAATAATGGTTACTAATTGTTGGGCATTAATTATGTGCCGGGCACTGTGCTAAGTGCTTTGTTTCTTTTAATCCTCATGACTAACCCATGAAGTAGATAATATCTGTGTTTCACAGATTCAGAAACTGAGGATTAGAAAGGCTAAGTAACTTGCCTAAGGTAACACATTGTGAAGTTGTAGAGCCCAGACTAGATACCAGGTCTGTCTGACTTCCAAGACTGTGGCCTTAACCACTGTGCACACAGTATCGCATTTTATGGTCCATGTTCTCCAGGACCTCAAAGTCCAGTAGTGGAATCTTGAATAAAGGGTCGTTAGAGTATGGTGCTGTTACAGCACCCAGGAAGAGCACCTAACCTGGATTAAGTAGGATCCAGAGGAGATCCTCTCAGAGTTGAGTCCTGAAGGATGAGAACTGAGCCAGAGGGCTTAGTCACTTCCATCTGATCATTTTAATTATAGATTAGGTTTTCTAGAAAAGGAGCCCGTCCTTCTATAGGATTTGTCTTTTTTCCAGGGGTTCATGATAAACTTATGTACATAAAATAACCCATTATTATGAAATAAAATGGGGTCCAGCCCAGTGGTGCAAGTGGCTAAGTGCACGCACTCCACTTCCGTGGCCTGGGGTTCGCAGGCCTGGATCCCAGGCGCACACTGACGCACCACTTGTCAAGCCATGCTGTCGCAGCGTCCCATATAAAGTAGAGGAAGATGGGCATGGATGTTAGCTCAGGGCCAATCTTCCTCGGCAAAAAAAAGCGGAGGATTGGCATCGGATATTAGCTCAGGGCTGATCTTCCTTACCAAAAATTAATTAATTAATTTAAAAAAATGAAAAGAAAAGCAAGGATCAATGGAGTGATGGATTCTGGCCTCAACTGATTACATTAAAGCCTGAAATTTCTTCTTCCTTAATAACAGATAAGAAAGACCTGAGTCCAAACTGCAGAAAGATGTCAGTGGGAAGAATTTTATGCTTTTTGTAGAATTTTGTGCTTTTTGTAGATTGATTTAGAGTAACCTTGATTGGCTCATGAGTGCTGTTCTTTCAGGAACTGCATGATTTTCATTCTGGAACTGTGCAGAGGCAATTGTGCATAGGGTTGTTTTCCCTGGAAACAAGAGACTAGCTGGGTGTTGCCATTTATAACACTGTAAAAAGTAAGGAATCCATTTTGCTAGCTTTTAATTTGCTGCAAAAGCGTTTAACTAAAAAAGTCATAGGATTCTTACAGAAGTAGCACCACCTTGTGGCCCGTGAATATCTTTAATTTTCCACTTGGCTGCTAATTTCTTTAGAGACATGGTGCTTTCTCTCCAGTTGAGTTGAGAATACTGAGGAGTATCAGTACTAGGGTATGTTATTCAGATTGCTATGCTGAGGTGACAGGCCCTGAATTCTCAATGGTTTAACACAACAAATGATATTGTGTGTATGTGTATATGTTTTGTTTTGTTCTTGCTATTGCTATATTTCCAAAATGGTTTGCAGGCAAATGTGGGAGAGTGGGAGACATAGGGAGAAGGTTCATTATCTTGGGTGCCATCTCAGCATATAAATTTTAAGGTTGCCACAGCAGGGGAAATGGAGAATTTATACCCTCTCTTAACTGGCTCTGACTAGAATTGACACAAGTTATTTCCATTTACAGCTCATTAGCCAGAACTAATCACATGACTCCAATCTATCTGCAAGGAAAGCTGGAAATGTACAGTTTTTAGATGTTTGATAAACATCACTCTCTCTGCCATTCTCACACAAAGTTGGAGCAACTGTATTATTACTTTACCCTTTTACTTTATATTAAATATACAAGTACTGGTTCAGAGGTTTCTGGGTGCAGTTCACTGAGTGCATGTAGTTGAGTTTACTTTCACTTAGTTGGCCGCTTTACACACTCCCCCCATCACGTCTCTAATGAAAGATTCTTTATTGCAGGGCACAAGTACAAAGTATTTGTGGTGTGTTACGTACTCAGAGAAAAAGCTACAAAGATGAATAAAATCTGATGTCTTCTCTTCCAAGTGTGTATGGCCTAGAATGGGAGACAAACTTGTGTATAAGATAAAATGATATAATAAAAAGAATAGAGATTTTGGAGTCAGACAAACTTTGATTTGAATTCTGGTTTCACCACCTGCCAACTCTGTGACCTTAGGCAAAATTACTTCACTTCTCTGAACCTTGGTTTCCCCCATCATAAAACAGGCAATCCATCTTCTAGGATTCTTGGCTTAAAAATAATGTGTGTAAAACAGTCTTTTGCCTGGCATCTAATAGGTACTCAGATAACAAAAGCCATGAATGCAGTTCACGGCAGAGTAAAAATGCCATGCAATACAAAGCAAGTGCTATCAGCAGAGAGGGAAAGATAATTACTTTTGACTGAAGGTGTCTGGCAAATCTTCACAGAGGATGTGACATCTGAGATGAGCCTTAAAGGATAAGTAAGATTTAAATAGGAAGAGAGGGAAGTTGAAGTAGAATGAGCAGATGTCTAGAAGCATAAAAGTGAATAACATGTTTTAGCATATGACTAGAATATAGAGTTTATGAAGGGATGAGACGAGAAAGGTACGTGGAAGTCGTCACAGTGGCCTTGATTTTCATGCTAAGGACTTCGAGACTTATCTTGATGTTAGTCAGGAACCATTCAAGCTTTTTGATTAGCTGAAGATTAAACCTATTATTTGGGAGGACAAATCTTTTAGATTGTGAAAGATGAAGAATCAAAGATTTAGAGGTAAAGATACCAGTTAGAATGTCATTATGGAGTATCTTAAAAGTATCTTATAAAATGGGTATAAGAGTTATGAGGGGTGGTACAAAAATAATATACATTTTCTTCAGTCATGAAGCTGCATGATGAGACGAAATATAACTATAGGCAACTTTCATATTACCTATTGATTTATCACACAACTTCCTTAATTCAGCCGTCTCTCACATCCTCGTTCTCCTGCTTCTACGGGCTTCGTACCCTAATCTTTCCCTTGTAACGGGCATCTTTTCACTTCTACATAAGGCCTGTTATCCTTAAGCTCAGTTTGGGGGTTATTGAGTTAGCATTTTTTCAGATTTGCCTCCTGAAATCTCATCCTCTCCCTCGACCCCTCCCCAGTTCAGAAGTTTCCATGTGTAGTTCACTCACTTGCCTGTAGAGCAGTTTATTTTCACTTAGTTGGATGCTTTACACACTCCCTCATTACATGTCCTTAATGAAAGATTCTTTATTCCAGGGCACAGCTAGCAAGAAAATTGTTGTGGGGATTGTAATTATACCTATTAAGTGGGAACATTGCACTGATCCCCTAATAAGTGAGGTAACTATGATTATTAGACAGCTGAGAATAGTACAGTACTGGCCACCATTCATTACTGTGGGCAAGGGCATTAAAAGAAGTCTCCTGCTTTAGGTTGTTAATGGCTGTGCTCTGTTCCTGAACAATCTCTAATGTGATTGTTTGTTTCCTTATGGGAACAGAGCCCTGACATTGCAACACAACAGATTCAGAATATGAATAATGTGATTGGACTTAGAGAATTATAAATAATAACAAGGATTTGTTTTACATAAAACTAAAATGTATGTTAGTGACGTTTTTCCTTGTTGCAGACATGACTTAAAACCTCAGTGTTGTAGCAAGCATGAAAAGCCTGATAATTCCAAAATGCTAAAATGGTTTCTTTTTTAGTTGGACCCTGGATGTTTTTTGCACACGGGGACCAGGGTACCCCAAAGCCTTCCTGCTCACCTGGATAACCAGGTTCCAATTGAGAGTCCCAGAGCTGTATCCCGCACCAGTGAGAATGACCCGGTGAGTTGCTGATGTATATATGGACCTTTTTCAGGGTGTATAATTTGTGTTGCTGTCATTTTACATATCAGGAAAACTGAAACCCAAAGAAACTAACCAGATTAGCTTAGCTAGCATCCAAAACAGCATTCTGAAATCCAGATCTTCCCCATCCTTTCCTGATACTATGGTAACATAAAACACTCAGGCAGGTCAGTCAATATCTGTTCTGATTTAATCCCTACCATTGAACTCACCTCAGGCCAAGGATTTTGTCAGGCATAGAGTAGGTACATAGTAAATACTTATTAAGTCAATTCCTTAGAAGTTAAATTTAGCAGTTATTATTGATCTTACTGTATGATGGGTCAGCAAACTTCTCCTTAAAGGACCAGATAATAAATATTTTAGGCTTATGAGCCAAAGTGGTCTCTGTCGCAACTACTTAGCTCTGCCATAAACAAATGGGTATGGCTGTGTTCCAATAAAACTTGATTTACAAAAACAGGTAGCCAGGGCCTAATGGTTAAGTTTGGCACACTCTGCTTTGGTGGCCCGGGTTCGGTTCCTGGGCGCAGGCCTACACCCCTTATCGGTGGCCATGCTGTGGCGGCGACCCACATACAAAATAGAGGAAGATTGGCTCAGATGTTAGCTCAGGGCAAACCTTCCTCAGCAGGAAAAAAAAAAAGAAAACGGGTAGCCAGCCATAGTTTACCAACCCTGGTATGGAAAATCCTAAAGAAATCAACCTGCCCAAGATCACATAGCAGGGCAGGTACAGAACCCAGTTTCCTAATAACCAATCCGGTACTATTTTTTACCTTTCTAAGTGGATATCCTAGTGTCTGGAGAGGGAACTAACTTGATTTATTGAGAAGAGCAGCATTTAAAGTGAAGTTTGTCAGCAGAAGCCAGGATTCCACCAGTATCCAGTGTTGCATTTTCTACTTGAGGTCTCATTAGGGTAGATGTTGATTTCTTTTCTCCTTCTCCAGTATTACTGCTGCCTCTCATAAATGAAATTAGCTGTGTGGTCTGTGCTTAAATGTGAAGGGAACGAATAGCTTTTTTCTCCCTTTTTGTCCCTACCCCTACCCTCTGAGTCTCCCCATCTTGACATACACTGCATGTGGGAGGGGAAACAATAGCTCATTACCTAAAACACCATCTCAGCAGAGTGTGTTTTATTTACATGTCTAGCATTCATCTTCTTTCACAAGCACAAAATGAAATAGAATAAGTGAATGAAGTCATTGAAGTGTCTTTCAGCTTTCCCTGTAATTGTAGTCCCTTTATCTGCCAATTCCTCTGGGGTTTCTATGGAAACAGCGGCATGCAGATGATCTTGTCACATGACTGGAGCATCTCTATACACAGCACAGAAGAATCCAGATGGCAAGAATTGTCTCTGCTACCTCCACATCTAGGGTTTATGTTGCTGAGCAACTGGCTTCATCATTCAGGCCAACACCAGCTTTATATACACACTGTGGGGACATTTGGGGACAACAACCAGCATTTTTTGTCTAAGACAAGAAATGAAAGATATCTTTTCCAGCTCTGAGAGATGAGTGTTTCCTCAATATGGTCTAGCAGGCCCCTTCCACTTGTTTAAAGTCTTTGCCACTTTATCTGTGACCCCATTATACCTGTTTGCATTTTTGTTTCATAGGCCAAGCATGGGGAGCAGCATGAAGGTCAGCACTACAACATTGCCCTCCAGGATCTGAAGACTGTGTTCCCCCATGGCCTGCCTCCTCGCTTTGTAATGCAGGTGCTCAAAACGGGAGGGAATTGGAGGGAGCCCAGAACACAAGCTGTTGATAGCAGAGGAGTGGGATTGAATGAGTAGAAAACTGTAAAAGATGAAATTTGAATCTAAAAAAAAAAAAGATAAATTCAGCTATTGATTATCTTTTATGAATAGTGCTGTTACTATAATTACTTTAAGCCACTGTTTATCTGTGGTTAACCACTTTAAATCCTTTTTGGAGCCAGACAAAATATTCTTAAAGAAATAAACAATATACCACTATTTTCCTTGTGTTACCCAACAGATTTCTAGAAACTTTGGCATTCAAATAATTGTTAAAAATGAATTTAATATTTGCCTTAGTAAAATATCATGAAAATAGTTAACATGCTGTAGAGAAACAAAATCATAATATATTCGTGAGCCAAACAGAAATGATATTTGGGTTAAATGCATCATTGTTGTTCTTCAGTCTTAGAATTTCAGAAAATGTAGTTTTGTGGTCATAACTTCAACCCAAACAGTGTAATCTTGGGTTGCTTTATAGCCACTGAAAGAATTCATGATTGGGCCGGCCCTGTGGCTTAGCGGTTAAGTGCGTGCACTCCACTGCTGGTGGCCCGGGCTCAGATCCCAGGCATGCACTGACGCACTACTTCTCCAGCCATGCTGAGGCCGCCTCCCACATATAGCAACTAGAAGGACGTGCAACTATGACAAACAACTATCTACTGGGGGTGAAACAAAGGAGGAGGATTGGCAATAGATGTTGGCGCAGAGCTGGTCTTCCTCAGCCAAAAAAAGAGGAGGATTAGCATGGATGTTAGCTCAGGGCTGATCTTCCTCACAAAAAAAAAAAAAGAAGAAAGAATTTATGATTAATTACAACCATAGTTTATTGGTATAATTGGTTCTTTTGACTAACTCCTGCTGAATTATCGTCAGCCTCAGAAATTATTCCTTCTTAATGAAATATCAAACTTGACCTTGCAGGTGATTTTTAGCCCAGGAGCCAGATGATGTCATTTCTTTAATGTGTTTTATTTTAAGAAATTAGATGAGACACCGATAAGGGAGCTAATTCTAGAAGATAGCTTTGTCATCAAGCTTAACAAAAATTTTGATAAGTTTGGAAATAGGACAGAACCAGAAGAAATCATCTGTGATGGCACTTTAGACTGTTCCAAGACATTCATAGTACAATCTCTAGCTTCAGGGTTGTGAGGGCCTATCTTTAACCATTTCAAGTTGCTTTCAGAGTGGCTTACCCACCAGTGTTTTGGAGAGAATTACTCATACATTCTTTCCATAATTTCCATTTACGTAAAGGCCAACTCCCTTACCATTGTTTGTGTATTTTAGTACTGTCATATTGCCTAATATGGCATTTCTGTTTTATTATCTGTATCATGTTTTTGAAGGTTTCACTTTCCATTAAGTTTGCACTTACTTGTCAAGTCCTTCTCCAATCCAATTGTTTGCTTAGGATTTCTTTTAAAAATACAACATTATTTTAATCCTTATCTGATATGCTTGTGAATAATATTTGTTAGATCTTCTTATCATAGACATTTTTTTTTTATGATGGATTTACAGTAAACATTCTTTTTTTTTTTTGTGAGGAAGATCAGCCCTGAGCTAACGTCCATGCCAATCCTCCTCTTTTTGCTGAGGAAGACCGGCCCTGTGCTAACATCTATTGCCAATCCTCCTCCTTTTTTTTTTTTCCCCTTTTTCTTCCCGAAGCCCCAGTAGATAGTTGTATGTCATAGTTGCACATCCTTCTAGGTGCTGTATGTGGGACGCCACCTCAGCATGGCCTGACAAGCAGTGCGTCAGTGCGTGCCCAGGATCCGAACCTGGGCCGCCAGTAGCAGAGCATGCACACCTAACCGCTAAGCCACGGGGCCGGCCCTTCATAGACATTATTAAATACTTTATTTGCAAATCACTTTTATACATATCATTGCTTCCCAAATTTTTCCCAAGTATTCCAGGTGGCAAAAAGGGAATGAACTTTATGTGTCAGTTATCTGGTGTGTCTGTATGCTGGTGGTGTCTAGCCTCATAGCTGTGGGGCAGCTGGTCACACCTGCCCTGAGCTGCCATGTATATAGTTCTAGAGAAAAGTCTAGATGGTTATAGTAATAAGAATTAGCTAAAAATAAATTCAAAAGAATTAACATTTATTCAATGCTTACCATGTGTCAGATACTTTGTTAAGCATTTTACATGCTTTTAATATTTACATCAACCCTAAGTGGTACTCATAGTTATGAGATGTCTGGATTATTTGTAGCTTTCAATTAACTGATGTAATATCTGTGCTTCATTAACAGAAATAATCAAAAGCTGACTATTATGTTAGTTGGTGTGGGATAATGTGTTTCAGGTGTTTTTTGTGTGTGTGTGTGTGTGTGTGTGTGTGTGAGGAAGACAAGCCCTGAGCTAACATCCGTGCCAATCCTCCTCTTTTTGCTGAGGAAGATTGGCCCTGGGTTAACATCCATGCCCATCTTCCTCTGCTTTATATGGGACGCCGCCACAGCATGGCTTGACAAGTGATGCATTGGTGTGCGCCTGGGATCCAAACCTGCAAACCCATGCCACCAAAGCGGAGTGCGCACACTTAACTGCTGCGCTACCGGGCCAGCCCCTGTGTTTCGGTTTTTTATCTAATTATATGAATAGATTTTCAAATTCAATACCAACCCAACCTCTCCCATCTGAATAAGTGAAAAATATACCATTTGGTGATGTGGTTGCTATATTAGACTCAGTGTGTGTACCAAGAACTGTCTAAAAGTTCCACACCCCACCCTCTCCTTCCTTCTTCTCTGTATTGTTAGGTGAAGACATTCAATGAAGCTTGCCTGATGGTAAGGAAACCAGCCCTAGAGCTTCTGCATTACCTGAAAAACACCAATTTTGCTCATCCAGCTGTACGATATGTTCTCTGTATCCTTTCCTGCCTGCCTGGGCTATCTTGAGTCAATGCTTTGCCCCCTCAAATAAGGGAAAAGAAGAAATGCAAGAGTACTATTTGTTGACAGAAGTGTCCCTTCTGGTGATGTTTTCTTTAACAACAAGTGCTTTAGATGGGGAGAAGGGAACAGGAAAAACCCTCAGTCTTTGCCATATTATTCATTTCTGTGCAAAACAGGACTGGCTGATACTGCATGTTCCAGATGGTAAGAACTTCCTATCTTCACTGTGTCGGGGTTAGTTATCCTGCTACTGTGGTAGCGTTGTGGCTTTAATTTTCTAACAGGGCTCTGATGGCTAAGAGAAAGGCCTTTGTTCCAGATGCAGAGTGGTTTGAGCTAATTCATCATGATTTCTTCATATTGCTGACAAGCAGGTTGCAAGGTGAAGTAAATGCGACAGGAGAAAATTGAGCTAAAAGCTTCCTGGAGCTTTTTGATAATAAGAATGAAGGATTTGGGCCCAGCAGTCCTCACTTTGATGTGTAATGCCCAAGAGCATAAACTCCCGCCTTAGAGGTCACCATAGGCTTTATTGCCATCAGTCACCAATTTTGAATACCCATAATTGTGGTACTATTTATCAACATTCTGGAGTTGTCACATGGATCTTAAATATTTAAACTTCCAAACTTTGCATATATCCATCCTTGTTTTGTTCAATGTTGTGTGCATCTACATTTTCTGTCTTTAAAAACTGCCAAGGGCCGGCCCCGTGTCTTGGTGGTTAAGTGCACGTGCTCCGATGCTGGTGGCCCGGGTTCGGATCCTGGACGCGCACCGAGGCACCACTTCTCCGTCCATCCTGAGGCCGCGTCCCACATACAGCAACTAGAAGGATGTGCAGCTATGACATACAACTATCTACTGGGGCTTTGGGGGGAAAAAATAAAAAAAAAAAAAATCTTTAAAAAAAAAAAAAAAACTGCCAAGAAGCTCAGTTGACCTTTAATCCACTTGGTATGCCTTGTGTATTAACTGTAATGATATGTTTAATCTAAGAGGGACCAGACAAAAAAGTAAACCTCTGAATCAAGAAGGCTGTAGGAAAAATACATATGAGAAACTAAAGTCATTTCTCATAACTTAAAAAGGCATAGAGTATTTGAGTTGATTACAGTCAGTTCCTGCCTAATTTGTTTTCTTGTGCTCTTTTTTAGCTCATCTTTGGGTGAAAAACTGCCGGGATCTTCTGCAGTCCACTTACAACAAACAGCGTTTCGATCAACCTTTAGAGGCTTCCATCTGGCTGAAGAATTTCAAAACTGCAAATGAACGTTTCTTGAGTCAGGTGACTAGACTCCCAGAAGTTTGGTGATGGACAGTCTTTAAATAGCTTTTAATCTTCTTTGTGTCCTGAGTCCCAGTAAAATATGGAGAACTGATATTGTAGTTGGGAATAACTATACCATTTGGGTTTTTTTTTCCATACATTTTACTCACAGCTCACAACCTCAAACTCATTTATCCATGTGAGATAATGAGGCAGCAATAATTCCCATCTTGTGGGTAGCAAAGTGAAGTCCAGAATGATTCACTGACTTTTCCAAGGTCACAGCCTCAAATCCTCTAAAGCACATTTTCAACTACATAATTTTCTCCACGTAAGATCTTTTTCAAGACCAGAAATGTATTGGTAAAATTATTCTTTAATGATTCTGGGATACAATCTCTAGGCAAGGGGTTTTCAACTCTTGATGTAAATCAGAATCACCTAGGAGCTTGTTAAAAATGTGATGCCAAGGGGCCGGCCCGGTGGCGCAAGCGGTTAAGTGCGCACACTCCACTGTGGCGGCCCAGGGTTCGCTGGTTCGGATCCCGGGCGTGCATCGACGCAC